CGAATTAGAGGTAGCCCATTTGACATGATAGGAGGAACAGACTTGCAATCCTATTAAAACGTGACACCGCACTCTGTTCTAACTTTTGAGGTGAGCATGATAATTGGGGCAAATGGGGGTTGCCATATTCCGATCTTAGGATATGTTTAATAACAGAAGATTTTAACTTGTGCGAGACATCTCGCGCGCTCGTCTTAGCTAAGAGGACCATCATCTTCGGTGCTCACCTTGAGGAGATGGCGCTCTTCCTTTCTCTCTAAACTCGTAGGATCTCCATTTTACCTCTTCATTCAGTGCGAAGTGTTACATTGGCTTCTTTACCGACAAAATTCTTTCACGGTCCCCCTTTAGCGGTGTCACAAGTGATCATAGAATCTGTCCTTTCCAGGTCTCTGTAACGGCACTTATGGGAGAGATGCACTTTGATTTTTTCTCCATCTCGACATGTATGTGTCCTTCCTCCCCTTCCGAACACGCCAGGAATATCCAAGAGAAACTATGAGCCCGCAGCAAAAGTATAGAATATTGTTCGAAAAATTACCACTCTAAAGATAATAGGCTTCTTAAAGAAGGAATAGGAAGAGGGGGTGTAATAATTAGGCCAGCACTTAGGTCTAATCGTACGTTCTCTTTAGTCTCATAAGGTTACCTTTCACGGGGCTAGGGTTTAGCTGACAAGCAGAAGTCTTGCTTATAAATATTTTTCTACAAACAGCACAACTCTACATTTTACTGAATCCTGGTGAATTCATAACAGGGCATAGAATGTCAACCTTCCTCGTCATTCCCTGATGCAGCCGTAAACATCAGAACTAGAGAAGGATTGCTCCAACAGGCCATATGTGTCTCTACATCACTGAGTCGGATGATCATGGCTCAGGTTTATCTACTACACCTGTCTACTTCAATAAGCACAAACAAGTCAACTGTACTATCTTGGGTACTTTCTTCTTCTTCTGTTTGTGCCTCACCCAACATTTGGAACAGGGCAGAGTGTACTAAACGGATACTTCAACGGCTGTATTTCTCCGATTATATAAAGAATGAATATTTTTTTTATTACTGAAAAGTGATATCGACAGGAGGGTTATAGGAATCTTCTTAAAAGGATTCGCATTAGGACATCTTCGTCCTCCTTTGAATCCCCTTTCCTTCTTATGTTATTATTCGCAAGTCCGTTGCGTACAAATGTGAGGTTACTTCCCCTCCTGGTGAGCTTAAATGTGATGAGAGAGGAGGAGAAACCGCAAAATGCAGAGTGCAGCGTCCTGGTTGTTCTCTATGTACATGGAGCACCCAAACAAATCTGTCTTTAAGTAACAAAAAAGTTATCACACTGAAATAAGCTTGTAGGAGGTTAAACATTAAGAGTACTCTTGCAGTCGTGCAAGACGATTCCTTGTGGCATGGGGGGCGGGCGTATATGCAAGGAAATATACTATATATATAGTATGTATGCTTTCTTTAATTATTTTAAGTCCTTTTTGGGCACTCTGTTAGCTTAGTTTGCGCCATGCAACACGGCCCCGGGGTTGGACGGAGATGTTCGGGTTGTTACCGCACGTAGGGATACAGCAACCTGCATTCAGGAATATCCGCAAGTAGGAAAAGATTTCCACATACATATATTTATATATATTCATATATCTATATGGATAGGAATAAGCGGAGGCATACGAAGCCCAGGACTATTGTATCGAAACATGCGCAACCGTATGAGGGGGGAGCAAAACAGAAGCACTTTTTCCACATATACTTAACCTTAGGAGGAAATATCGAGGGGTAGAATCGGGCCTCTGTCAAAAATGGCTCAGGGAAATTCTAGAAAATCTCCTTCTAGCATGGTCCAATTTCTCTACATGCAAATGTTCTATAAAACGAAAGGGGAATAATTACGAGTACCTTCTTTTGCTTCTAGGCGAGTAGATTATGTGCATATATTAAAAATATGGATATGCAACAGAGGGCAAGTAAATTCGTTTTGAAAAAGGTTACCCCCTATGCGTCATATGCAGTATTATATGTCAGGCATATTGGTAGCTCACTGCTATGCGAGAAATGCAGAATTTCAGAAACGTGAGAAGTTATTTCCTTCCTTGCGTACGTCCTAGGAAGCGGAGCGGGAATTATGTCCTTTCATTTTGTACATTTTGGGTTATTGTTAATTCGCCCGCTTTATTGTTTCTTGTCCTTTTTTGACTCTTCTCACTGATTTCGGTTTGTTCATACTCTTTTCATTGGGTTGGGCGTTGGTTAATTTTTTTTTAAGAGGTCATTATCAATTTGGCAGGTGAGGGGACAAACAGTGCTGATAATAATTAACCAAATTAACACTGCATTATTGGATTTATAATTGCCACTCTGCGTGAAAAAAGAAATTCAGAAAGCAATACGTCATTTGATTTATTCTTAGAATGTCTACATCTGAAGAAAACGATTTATATATGACCATTTTTTTGCGAAGAAAAATGAAACTTATTTGTTTATTTCTTTATTATATTATGTTATTAATGCTATGTTGTGTTATGATTAGCAAAAAGAAATGTTTTAGTGTGCCTTAAAGGGGAGAGGAATAATATATTATTAGAATAATTAAAAAAGAAAATTTTTACCAGAATTGGAAATTTTTGATTATTTATATATATTTCTTTCAGCACCTAAAATAATTTAATTAGAAGAGAAATTATTCCATTTCAGGTAGTAATTGTATTCATATCTTTATCACATTTATTTACCATTTTTGATAATTTCCAAGGTATCAATTTTAGTAAAATGAAAGATATACGAAGAGAAGAGGTATAATATTTTAAGTGCTTATCGGGAAGGAAAAAATAAAATTTATCCTTCTATGATATACAGCATTTGTAGGTCCATAACTATTTCGCGTTTTAATAGCAATTCTGTCATTTTCTATTTTACTTTATTATACTTTATTTCATTATATTTTACTTTATTTTATTATATTTTACTTTATTTTAATTTATTCTTTTCTTTTCTTGGGGTAATTAACAATTTCTTACTTAAAAATCTTAAGTAACATAAAGCAGTTTCATTATTTAGCCAAGTGGATTAAATCCGAAATTCTACATCACACAGATTAGCAATTTAATAAATATTTTATTCTTACTATTTTAACATTTTTGAAGAACAAATGACGAAGGAAATTTCCTCATGTTTTTCTGAACTTCTCCATAGATACTATCGTACACTATAATAATAATAATAATTAAGACTTGGTAATTTCGTTTTAACGATTTCTCGCAAAACAAAATTGGATACTCCCATTAAAAGGTTAGAAGAAGTATTTTGTCATCTTCAATTTTGATTATTCTTTTGCTTTTGAAATACTCATACACAGAAATAAAGCGTTGTCGTTAAATTGGTAATATATGCATTTACCTACCTTTACATACAATATAGGTATTATTTGTTTCCATCCCATAGTATATGTTTTTGACTATATGGGGTGAATATAGTCATCCTAAGTAAAAAAGTGAGAATTTATAAAAATATTTTATTAATGTAGCTGTATAGATCAAGTATCATTACATTTTGAACAAAAAGAAAAGGAACATTTCTTTTAAATTTTATTTATTCTGCCTTTTTAGATTCATACCAAAGAATTAATGTCAAGTGCTTGTGAAAACTGTGAAAATGGAATTTGGAAGGATTCTTTGGACTGGTATTACCAAAAGGAGGATTCGTATGGGTTTCTAAGTAATTGTTTCCTGAAGGGACCTCATGAGAAGAAGAATCAAAAAGTATGTCAAGCCCTTTCTCCTATAAATAATAATTTAAATGTCCTTTTACGTGATAAGAATGAATTAACAAAACTATCGAAATTATACTGTTTTAGAGAAAGTTCTGGAGATATTCTGACACAATTGAAATACCACGGAAATCCACAATATAAACCTGCTTGCGAATTTGTTAATGAGTGTCTTGATATATTTCGAGAATTAAAGGAAAAACATTGTCCAGGAAAAACCTTTAAACTTAAACGCGGCACGAATGCGGACTCTACAAATGAAAACCTTGCAAATTCTAGTTACAATACTGTATGTTATCAATTAGAAGAATTTTTCGACAAATATGAAACTGTTCTCTATAAGCATTTAGAACGAAATGGAACAAAACACAATAAAATAGGATCCCTAGAGGAACACCCAGACGCAGCTCGAGTCCGATGTAACCTAGGCGAAGATTTGTACTACACTCCATTCTTTAACATATTCAAATATAACAGTCGTCGGCTTACCCCATTTGGAGGTTTTGTTTTTGGAATTTGTTTAATACTTGGGATGTTGCTGATCATGCAGATTCTGTATAAGGTAAGGGGGGGCGATGAATTAAGCTACGCAACCTTTTTCGTTTGTGACATGCCGAAAGGGGTTATCCGGCGATATGTGCCTGCGTGTATGTATGTGTGTCTATGTGTGTTGTGTGTATGTACCTACACATATATACAGATGTATCTATATATGTATGTATTTCTTTTTTCCCTACCTGCAGTTCACCCCTATTGGAGATAGGATCAACCC